CCCCACCCCACCCCAACCACCCACCCACCCACCCACCCACCCATCAGCACCGCACACACCAACACCACCAACCCCCACCCCGACCCCCCCAGGAGGAGGAGGAAGAGGAGGAGGAGGCGGCGCCGGCGCCCGCGCCGAAGCGGGCGCGCGGCGGCGGAGCAGGCGAGGGCGGCGGCGAGTCGGCGGTGCAAGAGCCGCAGCTGCCGGCGGGGTGGACGCGGGTGCGGCGGGAGAAGCCCCGAATGGCGGCAACGGCTCTCGGTATAGTGGGTGGGTCTTCACGCCTGCCGGTGTGATCAGGTGCGCAAGGGGACGCAGAGCGGTCGCGGCTACCACGTGTGGTTCTCTCCGGCGGGCGAGAAGTTCAGCACGCTCAAGGCGGCGCACGAGAGCCTGCGCCTGCCCGCGGAGCTGCGCGTCCCCTCCTTGGAGCAGCTGCTGCACAACTTCTCGCTGCCGCAGTACGCGGACGCCTTTCTGCGCGAGGGGTACGACTGCGTCCAGTGGCTGCTGCAGATGGATACCGAGGAGGACTTTGCGCTGCTGTACCGCAGCGTCGGCATGAAGGGCGGCCGCGCGAGCACAGGTGCCGAGGTCTCGAGGAGAGGAGTGGATACTGACCGCTTCCCCACTGATGCGTGAAGGCGGCCACGCGAAAAAGTACCAAAAGTACGTCGAGGCGGAGCGCGGCTACCTCGTCGCCCGCGGCTGGAGCGGCAGCTTCGACGACGGGCACGCGTACCGCCTGGTCCCATACCTGCAGAGTATCGAATCCAGTGTGGGTTCAGGGTTCCGTGGGTGGTGTGGTGTTAGGCGCGCGGCCGGCCGCCTCATCAAACTGATTGGTTAATCGACTAACCACTGATTAACTAATTAATTAGGCACGCGTACGGCCGCCTCCTCAGCAAGGACGGGCAGCCGCTCTTTGGAGGAGGAGGCGGAGGAGGCGGAGGTGGCGGAGGCGGTGGAGGTGGCGGTGGTGGTGAAGGTGGTGAAGGCGGAGGCAGCACTGCGCTGGTGGTGCACAAGTCTGGCATCAAGCGGCAGCGCCTCTCGCTAGCCGAGGGGCGCGCCGTCTTCGAGACCTCGCGAGAGATGCGTCGAGGGCGGGTTGGGATATAGGCAGCGCAGCTCGCTGACGGAGGACGAGATGGCGGAGAAGGAGGCGCGGCGGGCGGAGCGGGAGGCGCGCAAGGAGGCCAAGGCGGAGGCGGCCGAGGCCAAGGCGCGGGAGAAGGAGGAGGAGAGGCGCGCCAAGGAGGAGGCGAAGGCGCAGAGGGCGCGCGGCGTAGGTGGAGAGAGGCAGAGATGGAGACAGACAGAGTGGCAGACCACAGCAAATGGAGAGACAGAGCGGCGAACCGAACCACAGCCAGACCAGCGATTGGGGGACAATGGCGCGGTATGGAGGGTGGACGCTTGGGCGGGGGATGGCGGTCACAGAGGAGCGACACACCGACCTCACAAAGCAAGCCACCCCGCCGGCTGGGCTGTGGTAGTAGCGCCGTCGCAGAGTGTGTCCAGCGCAGTGGCGGGGGGGGGGGGGGGGGTCCAGCGCAGTGGCGGAGGGGGCAAGTTCAGCGCAGTGGCGGAGGGGGCGGGTCCGCGCTGTGAACGGCGTCGCCTCACGCGGTGCCCTGCTGCCGCTGCTGCTGCGTGCAGGCGCGCGAGGAGGCGGAGAAGAAGGCGCGGGCGCAGTACAACGAGGCGCAGAGGGTCAACGGCGAGGGGCAGCCGGTCGAGGGCGTGCTGGAGCAGGCTAACCCTACTCCTAGCCCTAGCTCTAGCATTGCTCAACTCATATATCTCCCCATATCTCGCTTATATCTCGCTTATCTCGCTCATAACTCGTGCTCGAGCAGGTGCTCAACTCGACCGACTTGCGCCAGCCGGACCGGTGCGTGTGTGGCTAGCGGGGGGGAACAGGCTGGAGGGGGGAACACGCACTCTGCGTTTTGCAGCCCCTCGTATGCACGCGGTGTTCCGAATAGACTGCACCTCCCCAAATCTCCCCATATCTCGTGTACTCACGCGGTGCTCCGAGTGCACTGCACGATCTCCCCAATCTCTCCCCACATCTCTCCCCATCTCTCGTGTACTCACGCGGTGCTCCGAATACTCCGCGCCATGCCGTATTCCAGGGGGCCTTGACCTCTTCCCTGTCCATGGCAAAGGTTTGTTTGGCTCAAGAACGAGCCAGACACCAACGAGCGGCTCGGCTTGGCTGACTGGGCCTTCCCCGACTTCAAGGTCAAGATCCTCAGTGAGTTATTAATTACCGAAGTAAGTAATGACTCATGACTGGCCCTTCCCGACGTAAGGTCAAGATCCTCGACATCTACCAAGTGGAGGCGCCGTCACACGCGCACGCACACGCACGCACGCACGCACATGCACGCACATGCACGCACGCACATGCACGCACGCGCCCGAGGCTCACTCCTGTCGCTCACTCCTGTCGCTTGTCGTGCGCGTCCAAGGCGCCGTCGGCGCCGGGCGCCAGCACACGCAGCAACGACCTGAAGATGCGCGTCGATCTCGCGGCCGCGAGCTTGCGCCGCAGAGACAGCCCCGAGGGGTGACACGTACGCGTGCCCGCGATAGGCGCGTCGAGAAGAGCGGCGGCCGCGAGAAGACGCTGCCGCTCAGCATGGTTGCTCGCGTCCAGCTCTCGGAGCGGGAGATGCGGATGCTGCGGAGCCAGGGCGCGTTTGCTTTTGTGGGCGCTCTGCCGGGCCCCCGCCGCCTCTCCCTCACGGACGAGAGTGGCACGACGCGGCGCGTGAGCGTCGGCAGCTCGTCGCGTTTCGTCGTGCGAGGCAGCGAGCCGCCGCTCGGTCTCGACGCTGCGGGGTTCTCGCTGTCGGACTATCCGGGCCGGTCGACCGACGAGTTGGGCTTCCTCAAGCCTCCGCTCGGACTCGATGACGTCGGCAAAAAGGTGTGGCAGAAGGCGGTGCGCTTGCGCAGCAACGAGACGACGGGCGAGGTGCGGCAGTATTGCGACCATCATTGCACCATACCACGGCAACGCACAGCAGCGCCACGACCTATCGTGCAATACCGAGTATTGGTGAACGGCAGTGATCGATCACCAATGCCTTGCGTGAGGTGTGGCACCGCAAGCGCGATTTCTACGGCTTCGGCGGGTGGCGCTTCGTGGTCGACATGCGCAAGACGGAGGCCTCTCACGGCGACATCCGCAGCTCTGCCATGGCGAGAGATCGGGC